CACTTGTTCTTATAGTCTTAAGAATCAGAATTATTGTTTATACCCTATTGTTATGCTTGCTCACCTATAAAGTTAAAATATTTATGATTCAAATGGATCAGGAAGATTGGGAGGAAATGATTTATAATGAGGACTAGAGAGCCTTTAGCTAAGAAGTAAAAAAATAAGAAACATACTTTTGAGTGAATGTAATGATATGCTGAAGCCATCCATAATTAAGCAGTAGCAGGATGATACTTTGGGTCCCACATAAGGATGTAAATATTTGACCGAAGATGAATGATTTATGCAATTTTCTTCTTGTAGCAGGAGATAAGGAATATTTGTATGTGGTTTTTGCTTAATAGTTGCACATCCTGAACTGTTTAGGGAAATCATTTTGCATAGAAATATATGTGGGGATTTTGAGCACAAATCATGTGGGGGATTTTTTGGTGCACAGCACATTTTGATTGAAAAACACTATTTCCAGAAACACCTTTTAGTAATTTATCTGTGTGTGTGCGCGCATTTGTATCATAAATCAATGTGATTTTGCACAGAAATTCCACACCTGTTTTTGACAAGAGTGTGATTTTTTGCATGGAATATTTGAAAAGATTAGATTTTTGTAGGAAAAATATTTTTTTGCATACAAAACCCCAATTTTTCCTCAAATCCTCCCATGATACTTTTAATAATAATAATCATCATCATCATTATGCAATGACAACTAACTTAGTAAGACGGCATTGAACAAGGAACGAAAAAGGACTATGAGAACGGGATCTGATTCTAATTGAGGCGTTGATGACTTTGTGTGTTGTTTGTGTATGTGCATCTTATATACTGTCAGTGTTGCCCTTTTTTACTGTAAACCGCATTGAGTCGCCGTCGCAGGCTGATAAATGCGGTATACAAATGGAGTAAATAAATAAATAAATAAATAAATAAATAAATCATCAATAGTAGTAAACTGCTTAAAGTGCAAAGGACAAAGAGTGAATACCGTAAAAACACAATCTAGAGCAGAAGAGAAAACTGGCAAAAGAAGGCTCTCGATGGACAGTTACTGGGAAAAATTGAGAGCCAAATTGGCAAAGAAAAAATATGGCTGTGGCTCACAAATGGAACTTTGAAAAAGGAGACGGAGGGCCTGATTCTGGCAGCCCAAGAACAAGCCATTAGAACAAACGTCATCAAAGCCAGAATTGAAAAGTCGACGACAGGTTCCAAATGTAGACTCTACAAGGAAGCAGATGAAACAATAGATCATATCCTCAACTGCTGCAAGAAGATCGCGCAGACAGACTACAAGCAGAAGCATAATTCCGTTGCTCAGATGATTCATTAGAACCTGTGCCACAAATACCATCTGCCTGTGACAAAGAACTGGTGGGATCACAAGCCGGAAAAGTTACAGAAAATGAACACGTCAAACTCCTCTGGGACTTCCAAATTCAGGCAGATAGAGTTTTGGAGCACAATACTCCTGACCTCACAATCATGTTAAAAAAACAAAGTACGGATTGCTGGGTGTTCCTGTAACTAATCTGACTGCTGTATTTTGAACCAACTGGAGTTTCCAAAGTTGGCACAAAGGTAGCCCAATATAAGTGCATTGCAGAAGTCCAAGCAAGAGCCATCCATCTATAAAAAAAATTCTAGTCCCATTGTTATTTTTCACAACCGGGTTTCACAATACTTGCATTTGAATAATAGTAAATATATTTATATCTCTGTTTTCTGCTGCTTGGGTGTGATTGACATCAGTTTATGGCTTTATTTGTTCTTAAAAGGAAAATTATTTCTTTTCTACAAGCTTCACCGTAAAAAATGGGGAGGTTATGGGTGGATGCTTTAGAACTGTGTTTTGTTCAGAAGCATGACTAGATAACACATGAGAGATAAGTTTGGGATCCTCATCCCATTTCTGTAATCATTCAGTTGTAACAGGATGGATGATGCATTGTTACTTGCTCAGTCAGAGAATTTAAATACAGCAGTCTTGACATTCACAGTGTTCAGAGGGGTATGAGGCAAACAGTGAATCAGATCTTTTTAAAAAAAACCCATTGTTCAAACAAAATACTGTTTGGTTTTATCACCAAACATGGTTTCTATATTAGACTAGTGCTTTTAAAGCACTGCATTGGGGTGTTATGCTTTCCTCTCCATTGTGTTGGGAAACTTGCTGCAGGCCAGCAGCCAGTGATTTGTTGAGTAGAACTAGACTAGTAAAAACTTGGCTATGAGACCAAGCCTTTGGGCATTAAGCAATACAAGTAATGATCAGGGATTATGTACTATTGATATTTGATATTTGGAATGGCCTGGACTATGATTACTGGACTATGTGATTTTAATGTTTATATTAATACTTTTTAACTCCATGTTTTAATTTTTGTGTTCTAATTGATAGTTACATGTTATTGTTGTTTTATGTTGTTTCATATGTATGTGAGGCATTAAATTTTGCCATAAATATGTTGGAAACCACTTTGAGCTCCCCCTAAGGTAAGAAAAGCGGTATACAAGTGAAGTAAATAAATAAATCATAGACCATAGCCAACCACTTTCAGTAGCACAGGTCTAAGAGTTTTGCTCTCATGCTAAGAAAAAACACTGTCTGTCTTCTTTATTAATAACAGAATCATTCTATCACTACTTTTTTATAGCTTAAAATAGTCAAATAATTACTTCATTGGTAAATGCAAAGTGTGTAAAATAAATAGTTTTCATTTGTTGGACTATCATTATGGTCAGAGGAACAAGTCATAACTGAAATCACGGAACTGTTATTATTCTTACATAAATAAAGATTTACACAAGCAACATACCTTGTCTTAACATGGTGTTATAAAATATTTTGTAAAGAAACAAAGAGGATATTTATGAAGTACTAGCCACCCCCTGCCATGCAGTGCTGTGGCCCAGTCTGTATATATGTGTTTGTATATATTTGTGTATATGTGTATATATGTGGGTTTGTGCATGCGTTGTAATGTATTTTTTTTTATTTTTTGGCTTTATAAGTCTCATCTGCTGTGTTTTTCAGTGTTTCTATGAGTGATGATCACTCGTTGGCCTGATACGTGTATTGTGTCCAAATTTGGTTTCAATTCGTCCAGTGGTTTTTGAGTTATGTTAATCCCACAAATGAACATTACATATACAGATATAGATAATGATTCCTACCAGTGATGATTGCTGGGAAATATAAGAGGGGGAACATGCCCTTCATACTCACATCTCACTTTTGGGCTTTCCAATGGTACCTGGGTTGTGTTTTATTTAAAGCAGCATTTATTTTGATCTTTGCAAACTGCTTTAAACCTTAGACTGGGGAAAGGGCAGGGTATAAATAAATATATTAAATAAATAAAAGTAATAAAACAACAAAATGATAGACAGGATTACAATCATTATGTTTTTAATATATTATTTTCTGTTTAATAAGCCAAATCTTTCAACATAGAATTTTCTGATTATAATAGTATAATCAGGATCTTCTCTATATGATAATATCCCAGAGTTGTGCCTATACTGAACTCTGTGGTTTCACACTGATGTGTCATTAGGGGTTGTGCTATAGTGATTAGAATGTGGAAGGATGGATGTTTTGTTTTTCTAATTCTACATACAGTATATAATGTGTATTGGGGGTGGCATTTAATTTCGTTGTACGATGTACAATGACAGTAAAGTTTTTCTATTATTCCATTCTATTCATGGCTTGCAGATTATTTACAGATATAATGTATATAATGTATTTACCATTACTGAATCACCAATGGTTTTCAGTTTAATCCTTTGATTTCTATGAATAAATATAAGGTTTGGGAACAAAGTATCTGAGCAGTTCCTGTTGGAAAAGCTCCTTCTGATAAGATTTTAATTATAGGTCCTACTCTGAGAGATTATCACAACCAGAGGGGAAAGGTGCCAAACAAAAGTATGTCCTTGACATGTCTGGTTCCCCAGTTATAAAATAACTAGAATCTTCAGAGACAATGGGAATTAACTGAAGATAATGTTATTCCTCTGAACTTGTGTTACTCCTAATATTGTCTTACTCCTGCTTTTTTGTTGTGTGGCAGAACTATCTAACTTTGCAGTAGCTAGAAACCAATTACTCCTGCCTTCTTTTCAGTCCCACCTTCTTTTCTTTCTGCTGTTTTACTACCTCACCAGTTTCGTTTTTAACACACCTTTCTGCTTCTTCATTCTGATAATCATATAAAAGGCAAAGGTTTTCCCCTTGCATTAAGTCCAGTTGTGTCCAACTCTGAGGGTTGATGCTTATCTTCATTTCTAAGTTGAAGATCTGGCATTGTCTGTAGACACTCTAAGGTCATGTGGCTGGCATGACTACATGGAGCACCGTTACCTTCCCGCTGGAGCCGTACTTATTGATCTACTCACATTTGCATGTTTTCGAACTGCTAAGTTGGCAGAAGCAGGGGCTAACAGTGGGAGCTCACTCTGGTTCCCGGATTCGAACCTGCAACCTTCTGGTCAATATGTTCTGCATGTCAGTGGTTTAACCCACGGTGCCACTGGGGGCAATCATATAGTATTCCCTTTATTCAGTTCTCCCACTAACTTACCACATAGGAAAACACACAAACAAAACTCCCCTTTTCCTTTCTCTCTCTTTCTTACTCTCAATCCCTTTCATTTTCTTTCTCTTCTTTTTAAATGTTTAAATAATGTGAAGGCATTGTGCTTGGAATAAACACACTAGAATGCTTTCCAGACTTCTGGAGAAATGAATATGTAGTAGGACACAAATGGACACATGTTCTCTATTATTATTGCAATTTATTGGATTTTTTAAAGTTTTCATCTTAGAAATTTGTTTTGAATAGAAGAATTTGTTTTTTTAATCTAATGTTTGTTGACTGAACCAGCCAATAAGCAGAGATAATTTTATGTGAGTATTTTAAACACGTTAATTCTTAATGCATTTCTGTATGCAATCACATGAAACTAGAAATATTCATTTTTTTTTGTTACAGATCGCTTTACACAGTACAGTGCAAAAAACCTTAGGCAAGCCTGGAACAAGTAAGTGTTTTTAATAAAATATTATCTTGGTGCTTCTAATTTTCTCACTATTTATTTTGTGCCTAATAATCCTAATAATTAGGAAAATATTCCTCCTCTCATTTTAGAAAAAGGCGTCTGTTTTTCTAATACCTGAAACTTTTCTAGGACCAGAAATTTATTATTGACAATGACAACTTTGAAAGATCGTAACTTCTTATATCAGCCAATGGCATCCTTAAATTCTGCAAGGGAAAGCTTTCTCTCATTCCCCCACCTTCACAGGTACATTTGGCGAGCACTCAGGAAAGAGACCTCTATACCAGGTTGTGGAACTCCCCAGAGCAGTTAGGTGTGTAAAATTGTGTGCCATAGTTTTACTCTTTTCCTGGAAATTATTTTTAAAATAAGTTTTACTGTTTTTAACTATTATTTAATTCTTTTTTTTTTTACTTTCTGTAAACTAAAATGTTTTAGGTTTTAAAAATACTGTAAGCCATTTTGGACCTCATCAGGGCTGAAAGACTGCAAAAAAAAATCAATCAAGCAATCAATACATTTTATTTATGAAGTATGAACTGTACAAGCTGTGCAACACCAAGTTACGTTTTGTTAAAACAGTAGAGTGGAGATGGAGATGTGCAAGTGAATTAAGAACAGGATAAACTGAAAGATTCATTTCTCTAAAGGTGATTCCGCCACAACCCTGCCTTGTTCTGACTGACAGTGCATTCTACAGTCTGTGTAAACTGATACACACTGCGACTTGTTTAGTTCCATTAAATTCTTGCCCCTTTCAGGAGCAAATATAATCAATACTAGCATTGGATTAAAGCATACAATTTCCATAAAGTATACAGTTCTGGTAAGCTCTTCTTGAAAATGATTCTTATTAAACTCAGGGCCTTTTTATTTTCCATTGGACAGATGTGATCATAACAGAAGCCAAAGGAATAAGATTACTAGAAACTATCTTAACATATTTATTCAGTTTTAATGCTATGATGAATAAATGCATGAAACCTATCACAATATACAGATGATTTATATTTTAGACTGACAAATGAAAAAGATTAAGTTCGCCAATTTTACATAAACATTCATGCAATATGTAATAGATTTTCAGGACTGTTTTACTGGTTGTGCATATCTCCATTGGTTAAAAAACCCAGTTATATTAAGGGAACAAAATAATTGGGCAACGTTATGGTAAATAAATAAAATATCATTTTAATTGAAAACATCCAGTCCCTGTTGGTTTGAGACTTTTTCTTTAGCATTGTTAGTAATAAGACATGTAAACACATAACTTTCATTTAGTATTCTTGTTTAAAAGGGTTTGATTGAATTTCAACAAATTAAGTGCAAACTAATGTTATAGCATGGATTGTTTCTTGCTGAATATTCTAGCAAACTATACCTTTTTTTCAAAGCTTTCTATTATTTTATTTGTTCTATATCCCACATTCCTCCAGGTGTCAGTCCATAGATTAGTTCATAAAATAGGGGGGATCATGGAGATAGTTACCAAGCCATGGGTCTCATTGTGATTTGTGAAGGTGGCATGTAGTTTCAAATTTCTCTGGGGTAATATAAAGATACTTGCTTTCTCTCGGCTATTATTACTTTCTGCTAGTCTTTCCATTCAACTATGGGAATCCTGTGGGGAAATGAAGAAGCAAAATTATACTGTTTTACATAAAGGGATTTGCAGATTTTTAAAAAAATAAACCACAATTATTGTCTCAAAAGGAAGGAAATGTACAATTATGGTTTCAAGAGGAAGTGTACAATTATACAGCACAACATTCCTCTTAACTTTCCCTTAAAGGTGAAACGTTAATTGATATCTTTCAGAATTAGGCTACAGCAAAACTTCCAGAATAAGCTCTGCATTCTAAAATTACTATTTAAATTTGTCCAGAACCTGTTCAGGAAATTATTTAATCGTTCTTTTCACTGTGTTGTTCTGAACTAGTATATATTATTGTTGAAATATACAGATTATGTCAGGTTTACCTTCAAAACAAAAGACTATACCAGGTTGCCGTGATCCTGTTTTAAGTACAAATCTTCATAAACATGGATAAAATAAAATAATCTTTTCATATGCAAAATCAGCCCAATTAGTATCTCAGGATGCATATGAAGTTTTGAACATTATGGCCAACATCTGTGTTTGCACTAGACTTTTTCTGTAATGAATAGCAGTTAGTGCTAATTATATCATTGTCCCAGATTTTACTTTTTTTTCCAAAATAAAATTGCCACCAGAACTGCTTTGAGTCTCCTTTGTGGAGACAAAAAGCTGGGTATAAACATAATAATAATAATAATAATAATAATAATAATAATAATAATAATAATAATAAATCGTCATCATCATCATCAAAAAGTAAGTTAAGTGTAGGTTTTCTGGTTGTTTGGGATCTATAGAGTTTAACAGTGGCAGGGAGTACCCTTAAAATAGCAGCTACACCATAGTGATTCTGAGGAGCGTGGTCTTGTGAATTATAAGCATAGCGCAAATCAAGATTACTCTATACACTGATACATACACCGCATGGGTTAGATTTGCTGATTGTTGTTGTTGTTTGCCTTCAAGTGATTTCTGACTTATGGCAAACCTAAGGCAATCCTAACATATACACACCATGGCACTCCTTGCTTCTGTGAGGCAAGAGGCTATGCTGCTGGTAGTAGTGCTGCTGGTGAGGTCTCCCATGTCATACATGCTTTTGCTGAGGAGCCAGAGCTCCCTGTCAGCCGTGGCCACCCCCAGCTCCTTCAAGGTCAGTCCACCAAAAAAAACTTTGGGAGAAAATCATCCTATGCTTTATAAGTCATAGCAAATCCTTTGATTGTGTGGAATAGATCATGAAAAAACATTGGAATGTTTGGTTGTCCTGGTGCTTAAACTGTACTCAGGAGTCGAGAATACCATCAGGACAGAATACAGAGAACAGGAATGGTTTACAGTTGGCAAGGAAAATCAGGCAGGGTTGTATTTTATCACCCCGTGTGTTTAACTTGTACATTGAACATATAAATCTGGACAACATAAGTCAAAGTGGATTTGATTGAAATTAAAAAGCAAAAGGCAAACCTATCACAGGATTTGATTTGGTCAAAGGGGAGTAGGTTTTGCTTTCCTCTGAAGCTGAGAAAGTGTGACTTGCCCACGTTCACACAGTATGTTTCTATAGCTGAATTGGTATTAGAATCCTGGTCTCCAGAGTCACTCAAGCCGTTATGCCACATTGGCCCACTTTTGTTTCCTAAATAAGAGCTAGATGGTCATGTTTTAATAATAATAATAATAATAATAATAATAATAATAATAATAATAATAACAGTAATAATAATAATAATAATAATAATAATAATATAAAAATAAAAATACTTTATTTTTAACCCATCATCTCTTACCAAATGGACTCATAATGTTAATTTGCATGTGAATTATTAACTTCTAACTATATAGAAGGCTTATGGGGATGCGAATGGTTAAAGATCTGGCCTTATGAAATAGGATGTAATATGGATACGACTTTTAACTCAATGTTTATTGATACTGTTTTTAATTTGTTATTATTGTTTCTCTTGTGAGTCATTTGTATGATTGTTTTAATATCATGTATTGTTCATTAGATTTTTAAATTTTTATTGTTGTATTTTTATGGCATTGAATATTTCCCTTTTATGCTGTGAGCCACCTTGAGTCCCCATGGCAGGATAGAAATACTCACTTACTTACTCACTTACTTTCATTAGGTGTTGCAGGAAGGGACAAGTGTCCATATTAACTATCCTAAAATTATTCTCTATTTTGGAATTCTGGAAATTGAGTTGCTATAAGAGACATTACTAAAGTACCATGTGCCATGCAAATAAGGACTGCTTGGTGTTCATAATTGATCCTCTAATTGGTGCAAGTATTTTAAAGTCATTTTCGGGAAACATTTAATATTGGGTGGGAATAAGTTGGGTAGAAAGACCAGCTGTTATATTAACAGGGTTTGCAATTAAGTCCCTAATGCAGGAATGGTGCTTTTCCTTTAAGCTCCCCACATTTGACTTTTTTAAAAATACACACAGACACACACAGAGACCTGGATATTAATGGATATAGAGTTGTTTCAAAATTTCACTTAGTGGGTGTGTGTATATGTCTTCAAGTTGCTTGGTAGCTTATGGTGACACTATAAATGTCATAGGATTCTCTTTGTTTAGGAATACTCAGAGGTGGTTTTGTCAGTTCCTTCCTCTGAAATATAGCATCAGACTCCTGGTCTTCATTGGTGATCTCCCATCTAGGTGCTAACTAGGCTAATCTTGCTTAGCTTAGCTTCCAAGGTCAGACAGGAACTAGCACCTTCTTACTTCAGTCTGAAATTGTTACAAACCACATTACTCATTTCCAGTACCCAGTAATTTAACTGTTAGGTATTGAGTTATTAACTTTTAAGCAATTAATGAACAGGAACAGCTATTTTTTTCAAAATCTGTTTTGCTATTTGTTACTTGGAAAAAAATTTAGATGTACTATCCCAGTTTATTTTCTACATTGGCAAAATGAAAGGCACACTTTGAACACTTGGAGGAGCACTTGAGTTATACCAGAACCTAGACTTTGAAAACATCAAGCAATGAAGAATATTAACAGGATTTAATAATGATTATGTCTCAATAATGTAATTGTCAGGTATGATAATTATAATTATAATATTTTATGTTGTTTTATTACTCTGCTGGCCCATAATCATATTTATTCAATGAATAAACATTCAATGAAGATGCATTCAGTGAATAAAGATTGTATCACAAATCACTACTTTTAACATTGTAGATATTTCTTATCAATCATTTCTTTATCATCATCACTACATCTGATATTGACATATATTTTAATACATTTCGTTTTAACCTGACTCAATGTAAATACACTCAAGCAACTTGTACATTACAACTGTAGCTCTTTATTTAGTTTTTTTTACCAAGTTTGAATGTGGTAGCTGTCC